TATACTTATAAAATCTGAGGTGAGGGTACAAACATGGGGTTAACGTAACAATATATAGATATAATAATATGGGTATGATGTCAATTTCACTGTTTAATAAAATCATGGAGGTTGACACAAATCAAAAACTTAGTAACGAAAGACACATTTATTTAATAAGACGTTCAAGTACTTTGTCATTTTCATTATTTAAAAAAAGATCAGGGATGTCTACACAAATACGTGCACCCACGACATATTAAAGTTAGGATAATTAAAAAATAATATCACATTAACAAAAATTCATTAATTGCTTTAAAATTAGATACATGCATTCACGTGGTTAGTGGCATGTGAAATGAAATTAGCGTGGAGTAGATATACAGAAATAGAAAGGGGAGGTAAGACAAGGATGTGTCTTCTCACCGGACTTATTCAAACTATACAGTGACGCGATTCTGAGAGAATTAGAACTCATACCTGGCTTCATTATTGTCGGCCATAGTCTTAACAGCATAAGACATGCAGATGACAATGTTGATAGCAGACTCGGAAATAAAACTTTAAAAAAAAGAAGCGAGAAAAAAGGATTAAACATTAACTGCAGGATGACAGATTGTATGGTTGTTTGCTAAATAGGCGGCCTAACATGTAAATTACAAACAAGTACCGGAATTGAAATATCTGGGAAGTGTTTTAGCAACGGACGGAAGGAGTGAGACTGAAATCCGAAGGCGCATTGTGATAGCCAAAGATGCCTTCCAAAAGCTAAGCAGAGTATTAAGAAACAGAAAAGCTTCACTAGAAACAAAGAAAAGATTACCGAACTGTTACTGTCCTCCTATACAGCAATGAATGCTGGACAATCACCACAAAGATGAAGAGGAGACTTGAAGCAAGAGAAATGTTCTACAAGGTAATGAAAAGCATACCATGAATCCAACATGTGAAGAACGACGAAGTTTTAGAGAAAATATAAGCAAAAAGGAAACACCAGGAAGAGATTGTAGAAATTTCTAGAGCAAATAATGTGGAAAGAGGGCTTGGAAAATCTGATACTCACAGGACAGATTGAAGGCAAGAGGGACAGAGGAAAACAACGCTTAACATACTTAGTGATGTGGATTAAATGGATGGATGATCTAGGTTTAGGAGAAATAACAAAAAGACAAAATTTATTTTTTTTTACAACGGACGGGAACTTGTCGAGAGTCATGATCACTTAAGACCCGAGGGGACATGGCACACAAAGAACATGCTGACGTGAAGTCTGTCTACACTCCGACACGTCATATTTTCACTAAATGTTGTCCTTACTGGCATGTCATGGTGTCTGTCGAAGAGAATATTCATTGATTGAATGATTTGTATTTTACGGCTTATCAACCCTTCGCAGGTTATTTAAAGCTAGAAAATAATTTTAGATTGTATGTTTTTTTTTGGGGGGGAGATAATGTTTTAATAAGTATCTTTTATTAATTAACTCTAACCTTGTGAATAAAAGGTGTATTCATATTTACCCCAACGACATCAGCGCGTATAATGAACCTAACCGGAATTGGAACTTGGCTGTCCGATTAATAATTCCAAGTTATTACTCATTGCACCAGCAGTACATACAAGCTTACAGAATCTGGTATTCCCAAGCGGTCACTCATCTAGGTACTGATCAGGTTCGACGTTGCTTAACATTAGTGATCGTACGGGAACCAATGTTACACTATGATGTGGCCATCAGCTCGAGGGAAAGAGTGAAAGAACACAGTCCCGTAATTACAATTAGGGAGTTGCAACAAGTATATATATATATATATATATATATATATATATATATATAGGTATATTGCATCAGTCGGCGAGCTATATTTACTGAGTTTCTGACAACTCCCCAGAGACTTATGTATCATGGACTTGTGTCAGACTAAACGAAACTTGATAAATATATCTACAAAAGACATTTAAAACTACCAGATGTTGGACCTTCTCACGTTATTCTGTCATCGACTTATTTGCCAATAAGTGTAATAAACACGATGTCAACATTTATATAAGGTTTAAATCGCAATATATTATATTGTGTTACTGTTTAGCGTGCAATGAGAGCGACACTCCTCTACTTTATCAGTAATCTAGTTTTTTATATTTTATACCTTGCCTCTTTGTTCATACTTCTTTATAGAAGGAGTTCATATTTACAGCACGTAATGCTATCTTATATTGCATTCGGAGAGCGTATATTGATTTATTTCACATTGCACTGGCACAGAACCTTCAGTCACACCCTGGTGAGCGGGTTTGATGCCGTCTTGCGTCGCCATATCGCTTTCCGTTGTTTTAGCCCGGGTCAGATTAGATCATTTGATCGACGGAAGTACGTAACGACGGAGAAATTCCAGACGCCTCAGCGTCGGGCCAAGAATAAAAGCCTATATATACAAAAGCGGAACAAATCCCTCAAAACAAGCGAATCAGTCGCGACCCCATCCTCAAATGCTTCACGCGACTTCCATCTGCATTTTGTCTTTGTTTAGCGATAAGAAGAACGCTGGCTTCGCTCAGAGGCGGCACAGTGTTGTTAGGAGGTCACATGATGACGGCCGAAAAGTAAATTCACTTTCCCGTCGTATCAATTAAGTGCGGCGCTGATTGAAAACGGCCAACTTACTGGACGCCATTTTGGGCGATGTTCTTGACACTTCAAAGCTTACACGCAATTCTCTCATTGTTGAAGAGATTTTGACTGTATGACCCGTTTTCCCCACCTTCACTCTTCAGCAATGTCGCCGTTAAAGTGGTTACTTTTCTGCCTGGTTGATATTTAACCGTTCACATGAAAAATGCGATTAGTCTTCGCGTCAAAGGTCTTTCAAAATGGTGACTGCGCTGAAAAACATTTTAGATTTTCCCGTATTACTCACGCATCTGAAATGGTTTAGAACTACGCGAAATTTTATTTGAAGCAACTGACAATCTTACCTCGTCTGATTACTTCGGTCTGGCCATTATTATTTTTTTTTTTTTTGCTTCAAGATTTGAAGATTAATAATTGAAACGCTATTCTTCATATTTCTTGCATTTATTTGCATATTCTCGTCAGATGAGTCGAATTTATTAGTAAGGTAATAAAGCCACTAAGCCAATAGAATTTTTGAAGATCAAATCTCGCTCGAAAGCAAGAAGCCGGACGAGAGTTCCACAGGCAAAATGCGTGAGAAAAGAAATTGTTAGAAATTATTTACGGTTGTTTACAACGAGTCAATTTAATAATAAAGATTGCGATCTCGCTAATCTAATACCGGACGTAAATTCATCAAGTCTAGGTATGATTGACGAATTACTGATTAGAAGAGTTGAGATTTGAGGAGTGTGGAACCACCTCTTATTTGCTGTTGTTTCCAGGTCCATCGCGACACAGAGTGGTAGCACCTGTTAGGGTCCCAGCTATGGGCAAATAGTGAACCTCCAAACAAAAACAAAACACTATGAAAGTATAAAATTTAATTTTTATATAGAAAAATTACCAACAGTAAAAGTTTAAAGCAAAATGTCCAGAAATAATTAGATTTTATCTGTAGCTGAAGACATAAATTTCTGTCTATATTTCTGAGATGAGGTATTATGTCCACTATTTACATTATTCGGACTATTGTCCTCTTCTTTGTCGCCATATTTCTTACAACGTTTCAGCCCTTCAGTATCTGTCTATATTTCTGAGATGAGGTATTATGTCCACTATTTACATTATTCGGACTATTGTCCTCATCTTTGTTGCCATATTTATTACAAAGTTTCGGCCTTTCAGTATCTGTCTATATTTCTGAGATGAGGTATTATGTACACTATTTATATTATTCGGACTATTGTCCTCATCTTTGTTGCCATATTTATTACAAAGTTTCGGCCTTTCAGTATCTGTCTATATTTCTGAGATGAGGTATTATGTACACTATTTACATTATTCCGACTATTGTCCTCTTCTTTGTCGCCATATTTCTTACAACGTTTCGGCCTTTCAATATCTGTCTATATTTCTGAGATGGGGTATTATGTACACTATTTACATTATTCGGACTATTGTCCTCATCTTTGTCGCCATATTTCTTACAACGTTTCGGACTTTCAGTATCTGTCTATATTTCTGAGATGAGGTATTATGTACACTATTTACATTATTCCGACTATTGTCCTCTTCTTTGTTGCCATATTTATTACAAAGTTTCGGCCTTTCAGTATCTGTCTATATTTCTGAGATGAGGTATTATGTCACTATTTACATTATTCGGACTATTGTCCTCATCTTTGTTTATATTTATTACAAAGTTTCGGCCTTTCAGTATCTGTCTATATTTCTGAGATGAGGTATTATGTACACTATTTACATTATTCCGACTATTGTCCTCTTCTTTGTCGCCATATTTCTTACAACGTTTCGGACTTTCAGTATCTGTCTATATTTCTGAGATGAGGTATTATGTCCACTATTTACATTATTCGGACTATTGTCCTCTTCTTTGTTGCCATATTTATTACAAAGTTTCGGCCTTTCAGTATCTGTCTATATTTCTGAGATGAGGTATTATGTCCACTATTTACATTATTCGGACTATTGTCCTCTTCTTTGTTGCCATATTTATTACAAAGTTTCGGACTTTCAGTATCTGTCTATATTTCTGAGATGAGGTATTATGTCCACTATTTACATTATTCGGACTATTGTCCTCATCTTTGTTATATATTTATTACAAAGTTTCGGCCTTTCAGTATCTGTCTATATTTCTGAGATGAGGTATTATGTACACTATTTACATTATTCCGACTATTGTCCTCTTCTTTGTCGCCATATTTCTTACAACGTTTCGGCCTTTCAATATCTGTCTATATTTCTGAGATGAGGTATTATGTACACTATTTACATTATTCGGACTATTGTCCTCTTCTTTGTCGCCATATTTATTACAACGTTGCGGCCTTTCAGTATCTGTCTATATTTCTGAGATGAGGTATTATGTCCACTATTTACATTATTCGGACTATTGTCCTCTTCTTTGTTGCCATATTTATTACAACGTTGCGGCCTTTCAGTATCTGTCTATATTTCTGAGATGAGGTATTATGTCCACTATTTACATTATTCGGACTATTGTCCTCATCTTTGTTGCCATATTTATTACAAAGTTTCGGCCTTTCAGTATCTGTCTATATTTCTGAGATGAGGTATTATGTACACTATTTACATTATTCCGACTATTGTCCTCTTCTTTGTCGCCATATTTCTTACAACGTTTCGGCCTTTCAATATCTGTCTATATTTCTGAGATGAGGTATTATGTCCACTATTTACATTATTCGGACTATTGTCCTCTTCTTTGTTGCCATATTTATTACAACGTTGCGGCCTTTCAGTATCTGTCTATATTTCTGAGATGAGGTATTATGTCCACTATTTACATTATTCGGACTATTGTCCTCATCTTTGTCGCCATATTTATTACAAAGTTTCGGCCTTTCAGTATCTGTCTATATTTCTGAGATGAGGTATTATGTACACTATTTACATTATTCCCACTATTGTCCTCTTCTTTGTCGCCATATTTCTTACAACGTTTCGGCCTTTCAATATCTGTCTATATTTCTGAGATGAGGTATTATGTACACTATTTACATTATTCGGACTATTGTCCTCTTCTTTGTCGCCATATTTATTACAACGTTGCGGCCTTTCAGTATCTGTCTATATTTCTGAGATGAGGTATTATGTCCACTATTTACATTATTCGGACTATTGTCCTCATCTTTGTTGCCATATTTATTACAACGTTTGCGGCCTTTCAGTATCTGTCTATATTTCTGAGATGAGGTATTATGTCCACTATTTACATTATTCGGACTATTGTCCTCATCTTTGTTGCCATATTTATTACAAAGTTTCGGCCTTTCAGTATCTGTCTATATTTCTGAGATGAGGTATTATGTACACTATTTACATTATTCCGGACTATTGTCCTCTTCTTTGTCGCCATATTTCTTACAACGTTTCGGCCTTTCAATATCTGTCTATATTTCTGAGATGAGGTATTATGTACACTATTTACATTATTCCGACTATTGTCCTCTTCTTTGTTGCCATATTTATTACAACGTTGCGGCCTTTCAGTATCTGTCTATATTTCTGAGATGAGGTATTATGTCCACTATTTACATTATTCGGACTATTGTCCTCATCTTTGTTGCCATATTTATTACAAAGTTTCGGCCTTTCAGTATCTGTCTATATTTCTGAGATGAGGTATTATGTACACTATTTACATTATTCCGACTATTGTCCTCTTCTTTGTCGCCATATTTCTTACAACGTTTCGGCCTTTCAATATCTGTCTATATTTCTGAGATGAGGTATTATGTACACTATTTACATTATTCGGACTATTGTCCTCTTCTTTGTCGCCATATTTATTACAACGTTTCGGCCTTTCAGTATCTGTCTATATTTCTGAGATGAGGTATTATGTCCACTATTTACATTATTCGGACTATTGTCCTCTTCTTTGTTGCCATATTTATTACAACGTTTCGGCCTTTCAGTATCTGTCTATATTTCTGAGATGAGGTATTATGTCCACTATTTACATTATTCGGACTATTGTCCTCATCTTTGTTGCCATATTTATTACAAAGTTTCGGCCTTTCAGTATCTGTCTATATTTCTGAGATGAGGTATTATGTACACTATTTACAT